CCCATGACCTCGCCTGGCTAGGTTTTTTTGTATTTTTTAGTAGAGACGGGGTTTCACCGTTTTAGCCAGGATGGTCTCGATCTTCTGACCTCGTGATCCGCCCGTCTCGGCCTCCCAAAGTGCTGGGATTATAGGCTTGAGCCACCGCGCCCGGCCCCCTCCTCCTCTTTCAGTGGATGCTCTGTCTCTGGATTTTCTCCTCTCTCTTTTCTTCTGTTATCTTTTTCTTCTTTGCGTTGTTTCATCATCTGTTGCTCTAATCTATATTTCTTCTTCTTTCTCATTTTATCTTTCATCTTTTTTTAAGTTGTTGTGCATGGGTGGCCTGGAGGTGAGTCTGTGGAACTCTGCTGGAAGTGTCTTCGGTGCCCCTGTCTGCCTTTTCTTTCTTTCTTTCTTTTTTTTTTTTTTTTGAGACAGAGTCTTGCTCTGTGGCCCAGGCTGGAGAGCAGTGGCACAATCTCAGCTCACTGCAACCTCTGCCTCCTAGGTTCAAGTGATTCTCCTGCCTCAGCCTCCTGAGTACCTGGGATTACAGGTGCACGCCACCACGCTTGGCTAATTTTTAGTAGAGATGGAGCTTCACCATGTTGGCCAGGCTGGACTCGAACTCCTGACCTCAGGTGATCCACCCACCTCAGCCTCCCAAAGTGCTGGGATTACAGGCATGAGCCACCGCGCCCGGCCTCTGTCTGCCTTTTCTGTAGCTGTCTTCAGTGAGCTCCCTGACCCTCAGTGGAACCCTCTCCTCTGCGCCATCCACGTGCTTCCCCCGGGCCTTAGCCATCTGTTTCCCCTATAAAATCTGCTCTTGGAAATAGATCCAATCAACTCGGAGACTAAGGACTAAATAACCTATAAAGTTTGGGGCTTTACTTACCCCAAGGGTACTTGAACTTCAGTCAAATACAGAGTCTTAAGCTCAAGAAATAAATCTCTAATAATAATTTCAGGCAATAGAAAGTAATGAAGCACTTTTGGTGGCCGGGGGTGGGGGTGGGGCGGGAAGGGCAGGAGACTGTCCCTGCCAAATACGCCTTTTTACAGAGTTGTTCTACTTTTGATATTTTAGAATAAAATAAAACAAATAGATTCAGATAAAGCTAGAGTTAGATTTAACTGTCTTCTGGTATGTGGAAGTGTTTTGGTCTAATCAGTTTGGGGATAAAAACTATTTAATTCCAAAGGGATTGTGTGTAGCAGATGTAACAATTAATTTCAGGTAAATCAGTTCAATCTGGCTTCTTCATTCTCTCTTTATTTTATCAATTTTAATGTAATTTGCAAGGGGATCCAAACTCCACTTTACGTGTCTGCAAACAGCACGAATTCATCTAATCAAAGAGTCTCATGTGCCCTGACAGTGCCTGGCAGCCTGCTGAGGATTGCCAGGTGTCAGCCAGACCATTCTATTCACTTGGCCTCATGCTGAAGGTCTGCATGCTTTTAAAGAACGTATAAAATTTGGGGCTGGGTGCGGTGGCTCATGCCTGTAATCCCAGCACTTTGGGAGGCTGAGGTGGGCGGATCACGAGGTCAAGAGATTGAGACCATCCTGGCCAACATGGTGAAACCCCGTCTCTACTAAAAATACAAAAATTAGCCAGGCATGGTGGCACGTGCCCGTAATCCCAGATACTCAGGAGGCTGAGGCAGGAGAATTGCTTGAATTGAGGAGGCAGAGGTTGCAGTGAGCCAAGACTGCAGCATTGCACTCCAGCCTGGTGACAGAATGAGACTCTGTCTCAAAAAAAAAAAAAAAAAAAGAAAGAAAGAAAGAAAGAAAAAGGAAAATAGAACTTATAAAATTTGATCCTTGAAAATTGTACTGGTCTCAAGTATAAAGAATGTAAGTTAATAAATGTAGAACTGAATATCTACAAATCAAAACATCTGATCGACTGGTTACTACTCAATTCTTATGTCATTATATATACCTTATATTTAATGTGGGAGATGAATATATTTTAAGATGTTTGAGGTGCTGTGAAGTGGGTCTTCCATAAGTAAGAGTGTACAGGGTTACTCAGGGTCTTAGAATGGCCCTGAGTGTGAGAGACTTGAAAATCTGAATCAAAGTGGAAAAACATGAAACTGTTTCTCTGGAGTAACATGAGTCTCTAGGCACAAAATGGAGGTTCTATTTTTGGCAGGAGACATTGCATTGCACTTGCCCCTAGTCAGCTACATCAGGATAAAGCAGCTATGCAGGGGCCCCTGGTATCATTGGAAACAGACCAAAAGTAGAGAAAATGATTTTTATCAGCACTCCCTTCAGAAATAAATTATCATATGTTGGTAGGAGGATGCTACGGACTGAAATGTGTCCTAACCTCCCAAGTGACTGTATTGGAGAGCCTCTAAGGAAGTGATTAAGGTTAAATGACGTTGTAGGCGTGATGCTCTGATTAATGGAACTGGTACCTTGTAAAAGAGACAACAGAGATCTCTCTCTCTCTTTCCAATATGTGAGGACACCACAAGGAGGCAGCCATTTACAAGCCAGGAAGCAAGCCCTCACCAGGAACTAAATCTGCTAGTGCCTTGTCCTTGGACGTACCAGCTGCCAGACAGTGAGAAAACACATTTCTGTGGTTCAAGCCATTTAGCTTGTGCTATATTGTTATGGCAGCCCCAGCAGACTAAGACAGAAGCTATTCATTGATAAGCAGCTTTGGGTGGGATCAAGAAGCTCAGGGCCTGCTTCAGGATCATGAGGTGGTCCCCAAAATGCATCCTAAGTCTGGAGAGCTTGCATGGCTTCTGCTTTACCAAAGTGGGTGTGCAAGATTGGTGACGAAGTAGAACTTTCCAGGACTAAGTGCTACTTTCTGTGGAGTTGCGTATCTGCTCTTCCCCAAGCAGCAATCAGCCTTCCTCTACAGACATGTCAAACTAATATTAAAGAATATCTATTTGAAGGGGCACCAAATTATTAGCTACCTAGATCACCCACAGGCATGCCTTTGGTCCACCCCTGGCCAACTGTAACCCTTCATACCTCCAGATCATAGCCAATGCCATGGGCCCTACAGATCTGAAGAAAAACGTAGTGGAAAACCAGTGAGAGATTGCTGTGTCTTAGCTGGGTTGTCATCACTGCATAACGACTGGTTGCCAGCGTCTGGAAAGGAGCAGAACTGAATATTAAACAGATATTTAAATAAACTTGTAATTTTTGAATACTTATAGATTAACAAGAAAATTGCAAAGGTAATTCTGAGAGTTCCTATATCCCCCACACCCAGTTCTTCTATTGTTAACATCTTACATTGCTATGGTACATTTGTCACAACTAAGGGAACAAATTGCTACATTACTTTTCATTTTTTGAGACAGGGTCTCATTCTGTCACCCAGGATGAAGTGCAGTGGTGCAATCTGGGCTCACTGCAACCTGTGCCTCCTGGGCTTAAGTGATCCTCCTGCTTCAGCCTCCCGAGTAGCTGGGACTACAGGTGTGTGCCACCACACATGGCTAATTTTATTATTTTTTGTAGAGACAGGGTTTCACTATGTTGCCCAGGCTGGTTTTGAACTCCTAGCTCAAGCAATCTGCCAGCCTTGGTCTCCCAAAATGCTGGCATTACCAGTGTGAGCCACCACACCTGGCCCTACATTACTATTAACGTAAATCCATACTTTATTTCTGTTTCATTCATTTTTCCCTAATTCCTTTCTTCTGTTTCAGGATCCCATCTAAGATACCACACCGTAACTAGTTGTCATCTCTCCTTAGGTTTCTCTGGGCTGTGACAGCTTCACATCTTTCCCTGTGTTTGATGATCTTAACAGTGCTGAGGAGTAATGGGCAAGCATTTTGTGAAATCTCTCTCAATTTCAGTTTGTCTGATGTTTTTCTCCTGATTGGACTGTAGTAATGTGTTTTTGAGAGGAAGACCACATGGGCAAACTGCCATTTTCCTCACTTCGTATCAAGCGTAGATAGATGGTATCAGTGTGACTTATCACTGATGACGTTAACCTTTATCACCTGGCTACAGTGGCTTTTGAAGTTTGTGAAAAAACTTTACAGGTTTCTCTGTTGTAAAGGTATTTTCCCGCTCTTCCCATACTTCAACTTTTGGCAGCAAGTCACCGAGCATGGACCACCTCCTTGAGGTGGCCAACATTAGAAATTTGATGCTGCTTTCTTTCTTTGGGGAAACTGCTCTTCTTTATCTTGCTTGTCTATCAGTGAAAGCCATGCCAAAGAGAATGGTGATAGTAGGGCCAAAGTGCTGTCATTACGTATTTCCTGGAAACATTTAACATTTAATATGTACCAGATAAAGTGCTGGATCCTGGCAGTTTTATAGCATGTTCTTTGTGAGATGTGATATTTGCCTTAGTCAATCAACAGTTTTTCTCTGGATAGCTGGAAATGTGGAGAACTGCATATAGGGCCATGGCCAACCTTAGGGCATAGTAGATAAAGGTGCCTGGCTTGGTTCTAGAACTGTGGTGGTGCACAGGTGCTGGGCAAGTAGGTACCCGGGCTTGTGCAGTGACTTAGAACAGGAGTAGGAAAAGGAGGTGCTGCTGGTCTGGAGCTGGCCGTAAGGAATCGTAGTGACCTGACATGCATTATAATCAGGCCTCCGGCTCGCCTCCTGTCTCTGAGACAACGCAGGGGAATTAGGGCTGACTGAGTGTTCTGCAGAGAATAGACATCCTTTCCTCTCCTGCATCTCTCTCTCCCTCTACACACACACACACACACACACACACACACTCAGATTTCGTGGCACTTTTGGTGACATGCTCCCCCCATATGTGATTGAGGGAGCATGTTTTTCTTCAACATTTACATCAAGTCCTGTGTCTGAAGGTCATATCATCAGTACCACCAGTTAAGGCTGTTCATCCTAAATGCAAGTAGAATCCGCATCTGCAGATGTGTTAGGCCCCCACAGGCTAATACAGCTTGAGTTGTGTACCCACCTTGTAGGGTCCCATTTGTAGCCATTGGGATTTTTCTAACAACAGAAATCTGATTTGACCCTCATATGCCTCACAGCTGTACACTGTCACCCTGACCTATCATGAGTTGTTCCCTTGGTTGTCTCCCTTCCATGACTGGGAGTTTTCTGAGGGCAGGCGCTGTTTGGGGGCAGGCGCTGTTTGGTTTCTGAATCTCCGGTTTGGGCATGATACCAGCACAGAACAGGCACTCGGTGTTTATTACATAAAAGAGAATGAATAACCGAAATAGATTAGGTGGATAGCTCTTCCCTCTTAAGAGACTCTTCCAAGGATAATTTGAATTCAAGAAATTTAAGTAATTCAAGAAAGACACTGCCCATTGATAAATACTTTGGGGCAAAAGCAGGTGATTATTACAAGGCACAGGGGACAGTCACGCCATCCTTAGAGGAGGACAACTCAGGGCAGTTGCTCTGGGTCTTGCCTGCTGGAGGACAGCATGGCTCTGGTGGACTAAGCAGGAATAATTGGTGGGGTAACAAGAACTGGCTTGGAGAAGTTCTAGCCCAGCTGGCCAGTATGTCTGGAAGGGCATGGCCACCAGGCCTGCTCACCCTGCCATACCAGGCTGGCCATGCTCTCACCTTCACACTGAAAAGCCCAGAAGCATCCAGAAGCATGGGCTTTTGCTCATGGAAGTGAACTGTAAACACTCTCGAATTCCACTGTGGTTACTGAGCATGTAATTGCATGGTAATTGCCATGAATTCACAAGATAATTCCAAGGTTATTTTTGTCTTCTAAACTTGTCTGATGCTGCCATAGTATATAAAGAAAAACCAAGACCAGGCCCCAGCCAGCAATAGAGGTAGGCAGGCAGGCATGTGGTAGCACGATCTAGCAATACTATGTATCTTGGCTCCAAAGCACAGCAGAAGAGCTTACTGTCCAGTAGTACATGATTACTAGACAACACGTAAGGGTGGGCTACCCTGAGGTTTCTTCTTCACTAGAGATGCAGGTGCAACTCCCCCTCCTCCCAGACTGGGGCTTGCGGTGCATAAAGAATCTGAAAGAAGAGCCAGGATATTTGGTACATGTCTCCCAACCTTCTTTTCCGTAACCATCACCATCCTAGTCCAAACCTTTATTGCCTGGAGAGTTAGAGGTAAGGATACAAGCATAATTCTGTAGTGGAAAGAGTGGAAAGGTTATATGGAGTGAGAAAGAAGTTCAAAACCTGACAAGGCCACTTACTATGTGTGTGATCTTGAACAGATCATTGAAATTCTCTGTCTTCTGATGATTAAATAAGCACCTACTGCAGTGCCTGGAACCTGATAAATGGTAGCTACTATTTTTGCTGTCATTCCTTTGAAAGGATTTTGGATCTACAATAAATGTAACTTCCCAGGCTGTTTTTCCCCCTACTCTTCCCCCTCCTCCTGAGATTCTGAACAGTATCACCAGATTAATCATTTTCCCCTAACACAGGTTGGTCAGTGTCATCCTTCTACTCAGAAATATTCAGGCCTTTTCACCTTCAAGGTGAAATTCAGACCCGGTGTGGTGGGTAGACCTCCCCAAACTTGCTCAGTGCACCCTTCCAACTACTTCTCCTGCTCCGCACTTCCCCAGTTCTGTGCTCCAGTCCAACTGGTTCACTGCCTTTTCCTAGCAGACCACAGGTTTCTTTGGACTCTGTGCCATCTGCTAGGGGACGTCCTCCCCTCCTTGCCAGTTAGTGACTGTTCTAGTCTTTAAGGCAGGATCAAGTTCTATGTTTTCAGTAAAGTGTTCCCTGTCCCTGCCAGTTCACAGTCATTTCCCCTGAGAACTCTGGCAGCAAGCTGAGGGTCTGTCACTCAAATGGCATTTAAATGAGGCCTTGTGGTATTTCCTTGTGTATGTTATCTATTTTAATAGCAACATCTCTCTCTCTCTATGGCCTTTCTTTTCAGCTCCTTAAGGATAGGGACTTTGTCAAATATCTTTGTCTCCTCATGCTTGGTGAAAGTCCTGGCACATATTAAGTGCTAAATAAATGCATTAGAATAATACTTACAAGATACACCGACTTTTTAGAAGACTTAGCCAACTGCACGCTTTATACAGGAAAAAACTATCAATCACCTAGGGTTGTCTTATATCCAGCCTGATAGCACAAGTGAATAGCATAGGAGTATTGAGAGGAGGATTAGATGAGAATATAAAGACCTTGGAATAGTATCTGGCACATAGTAAGCTCTCAGTGAATGTTAGCAATTATTTTCACGTATTAAACTAAATAGTTTCAAAGATAAGGTCAATTATTTAAAATTAAAACTGACCAACTAACCAATAAACCTTTTCATCAGAAGGTGACTTGAATCAGAAAACCTGGGCTTTGCTATGTACCACCTTTATGACTTGGGCAGCTCACTTAACCTTGCTTAGCCTCAGTTTCCTATTCTGTAAAATGGATATAATAATCCTTGACATCGATTTCTTGGGGTTATCATGGGGATCAAATAAGCTCGTGTATAATTAAAGTATAAAGCATTATACAAATAGAAAACATAATTATTAAAAAGTTGATTTGTAAAAACTAGTCTCTTCTGATGCTGTACAATTTATCTAGGTTTGACAAGGATCAAAAAAGAAATCATGATTTGGAAATAATTGAAATTAAAAATGGTTATGTCCTTTGAGCCAAAATTCCACTTTATAGTATATATTCTAAGATATATCTGAAATGTGCCAAGTGATATATATACAAAGTTATTCATTGCAGCACTGTAATAGGAAAAAATTGGAAACAACCCAAAAATCTACCCATGGGGTAGATAAATTATGGCACATCCATGCAATGGAATAACATGTTGCTGTAAAAAAGAAATGATACTGCTCAGGTGTCTGAATCTGAAAAAAAAGAAATGAGAACATTTTTATGAAGTGTTAAAGAAAGCTCTCCAAAGAAAAAAGTGAGATTCAGAACAGTATGTATTATAGGCTACATTTTGGGTATAAAAGGGGGAAAAGGATCACCTGTATGTATATTTACTTGTGTATGTAAAAAGATGCTCTGAAAGGATATACAGACACAGAGTGGTGGTTACCTTTGTAGGATGAGGTGGGAACTAATCAGTGGGAAGGAGGTTTGTCAATGTGTGACTGCTTCCACCTTTTGCCTTTTGAACCATGTGAATATATTATGTAT